ACCTTTTCACAAAGTTACTCCCAAGTAGAATTTTTAATCAACTAGTACAAAAAATTGATCTTCTTCGTTGAAGAAATGATCATTCGGTTGAGAGGGCGAAATGAATTTATCTTAAAAGAATATTATACTCTTTTTCCTTAACTACATTTTTCCCACTAAATTTTTTCTAGTCAAGTTTTAACGAGACATATCCTAAACAAACATTCAAGGGGGAATGTTATGAATAACGGATTATTGTCTTCCAATATGTTATGAATAATGGATGTTTGTCTCCCAAATATTTATATTCCTTAGTTGTAATAACTTATATTGATTATATTATCTTATATGATGTCCTATAAATATGACGAATTTCATTATGTAGTGATATGAATGAAAAATATAATATAATCATTCTCATCTTTCTCTCTAAACTTTGTTCTTCTCTCTTTATTTTTATAACATAACTAATCATCCACATCAATAAAAAAAATATAGAGGGATTTTTCAAAAGTCACATATATGGCACTGGATATAATACCTATTAACCATATTTTTAATTAAAATCTTCCACTTTCTCTCTCTTTCCCTCTTTTAAACCAAACATATATATAATTTTAAAAAAAATCTCTTATCTCTCCTCTCTCCTTCCTTCCATTCCTTAAAATCCCTTCCTCCCTTTTTTTTTTTGACAAATTGATGCTTGACCAAATGCAGGACAAGCTCACAATATTCCCCCATGTAGCTAACTGCAAAGGTATTCAATACACGTCTTACATTCTCACCCAATTTTTTCTGCACAAACATCATCAGACTACACTTGTGGTAACTTACACAGCTCACTATTCAAAGGAGATTCTTCAACATCAAATATGCAGTTTCATGAGCTCTGCATCAAATTGATGGAACAACGAATCTCTTTTAATGCCAAGTGAATGATAACATGAATTATGAATCCTACAAAAAAAAAAATTCTAGTAGGACTCAAAATGCAACAATCATCATCCTTTCGAATGAAAACAAAGGGTTAAGTAAATATTTTTCAATTATTGAGTTTCCTCTACGCGAGTACGGAATTTTTCCGAACTATGTTTGAACAAATGTTTCTCACCTTGTTATATTCAAACTTGAGATTGAAGGAACGTTTCTTTCCACACATTTTATGTTCAATTCACAGTGCACTTACATAAAAGGACCAACAAGCCTTTTCAAAAAACAATTCCAATATCAAATCAACAATCTCTTTGAAGTTACATCTTACCAATTGCAACAACTTTTGGTAGACTAGTTTCTTTGGCAAGGAAAAATGAAATACATTTTTCTTTGTCTCTTTACTATCTGATGCTATCACATCAATTCAAGTTGAAATGAAGGAATCAATTTGAATGAGTATAAATCTAATCTATTTCCTTTCCTATTGACACTCTCAAAGTAATTTATGAACAAGATAAACACGTTTTCGACAAGAAATTTTTGGTGGAATCAACATATTGTCTCTGCTACCCTGCGGCTAATAGCCAAAGCATTATTAAGGACGATATTGAAATCGGTATCCAGCTTAAGAAGGCACATGCAACTGAAATTTGATATTTTCGGCATTCCTTTCCAAAATGGCAATGTCCTAGATCGTTAAAGTACAAAACTGTGATGCCTGCTGAGGAACACGCCGCAGCTAGGGATAGTGTGGCTGTTACCTGTCGACAGTGGTCAAGAAAATTATTCAAAATTCGCTACGCAATAGCACTGCTATAGCCTCTATTTGTCAACATTACTGTACGTAATAAATAAATCACAGTCAAGGTTTTGGCTGAGACTAACCCAATCTCCAACTAGATAGAGGCTAACTAGTACAGGATTGTGGAGGACTTTCTTTCTCGCCACGGCGTATGCGTCCAATAAAGCGAGCACAAAACTCCATATGGTTTGTAAACCCATTGCAGCTATCAAGTAACTGCAATGCAACTGGAACAATCAGATTTAAGTAATTCCATATGAATCTAAGCATGCTATATGGGAAAAACAGTTCATTATATACACACAATTCGATTAAATTTCTGGATCACACACAATATTGATGGTAAAACAGTTCATCTTGTACATATTTTCTACACTATATGGGAAAAACAGTAACATATACATGATACAAAAGAAAATTGATAGTATGCGATTAACTAACACTCAACCGGTGTTTCACCAAAGGATATTTGTCCAACAAATAGCTCAAAAATGCGCAGATAAAAGCATAGAAGGAGGATCATAAATGATGAAAGCTAAAAAAATAATGAAACTCAGCAACCTCCTCACCAATATTGTCAAGATTGAATGCTGGATTGTAAGATTGTTTCCGTCGCCAATGTGGTCAAGATTGATCTTTTTGAAACAAGATTGTAAAACGAAACGTGTTGGGTCTTTCTTGGGGCTTGTATGAAATTACCCTTTTTCCTTTGGTGGGATCTTACATGTCGTGCTAACGATCCAAGTTTTACGATCTTTCACAAGCGTAATCTTACGTGTCGTGCTAACAATCCAACTTTTACTATCTTTCACAAGCGTAGGATCTTACGTGCCGTGCTAACAATCCAAGTTTTATGATCATTCACAAGCCGACTAGTCCTACTTAAGATCTCGTGCTTGATTAAATTGCTCTTCATCCCAGCAGCACAGACATTGGAAGTGTAGAGTGTAGACAAATGTGAGTGGCCTAATGATATATCTAGAAGAAGCTTTGATATCATTTTAGAATTTGGGCTAACACAAACCCAAAAGCTAGCCCAAGTAATGAAAGTTGTCCTAGCCTTATAGAAACTAATCTAGTTGATGTAGGATTTCAACACATACCTTCAGTAGCAATAATAAGCAAGTCAGCTAGAGATTTAGGTAGCTCAGGAGTAGGATGAATAACAAGATTATGGAACAGTAACAGGTTACGAGGGTGACGATGATGAGTAAAAAGTGGACAGAGAGAAAGCGGCGATGATTGGGAAGAAGTTGTTACTTGGTGGGGAATTGGAAGTTGAGAAACAGAGACCAAAGTACTCAAGCAAAATGCTTTATTTTCATTCATTGAGTTTGAAAATGCACAGGATATAAGACGTTTCTGAGACTTGAAGAGTCAAAGTTTGGTTCAAGATCCATATAATTTGTAATTACTTTACAAGTTGTAGTGAAGGAAAGCACCTGAAGTACACAAACAGATACCAAAAGCAGCATCAAGCAGAAAAAGGAAGACCGAAATTGAACCTTAGCAAGAACAAAAGACCATTATTATGTAAACTATAATGGAAGTAGCTTGTTACTACTTAAACAGGACTGAGAGGAATCGATGAGCAGGCTGCTGCTGACAGTGGCAAAATTTGACTCCCGGATGGTGACACATGGCTAACGCACAAGGGTATGACTATGAAGTGCTCTTGACATAGCAAGATCGGAGTGTCCTCGGGATCCTATACTTCTAATGCTACTTGAATACAATTGCAATAACATATGCCAATAAGGTAAACAACTCATTAGTGATATTTTTATACAAGATAAATTTGATTCAGTCATGTCAATACTATGGTTCACTATATTATATTGTAATATTCAAAAATTATACCCAAAGAGATAAATGCATAAAAATAAAAAAGCATTAAGCAAAATGTTGAATTACCAAAAAGCTGTAATATTAAAGAAATTTGGTGTGGTAGCCATGGAAGCAATAGACCCAGCAGCAAAAACAAACTGTGATATCCTCAGAGCCAAACCAAACAAAGTACCAGGTGTCCCAGGAAAATCCTTCATTGTTTTCTCCAAAAGAATGAAACTTTCAGATTCTCTATAACTAATAACCAACACCCATCTCTAGATTTAAGCCAAAAATAGCAAAACAAGAACCCAAAGTCAATGCCTTTAAAATCCACTTCCCAATCTAAAACCGGAAAAGAAGACAAATTGGAAATGATATGAGAAAATCGGAATTTGGGGTGAGTATAAAAACAAAACAAAAAGAAACAACCAAAGAAAAGGTAAAGTGTCAAAGGATGATAGAGTAAAAAATGTGACCAAACAAAACAGAAACAGAAAACCTTACCTTGGTTGGTTGGTTGCTTAGAATTGCACGATTCTTGTATTGTTCTTGACAAAATCAAACTGACTCACAACATGGGACCCATACAATGCCGTAGAGATTCTTGTTCCATGAATAAAAGGGTGCCACCATTGTTTTACAATTTACGCAAATTCATTTTTGGAAAATACTAAAGAAATTTGTTAAGAAATTAAATATATTAATAATTTGTTGTATGGTTAATTCTTTTCTAAAAATTGAAATATTATTTTCAATGCAAAAACTTCGATTACTGCAATTAGGGTCTATTTTTGGGGTTGTGTAACTTTGTGACTTTAGGCAAAACAGAAGGAAAATGAATAAATAAAATAGATTATTATATTTAAAGACAGAAATTAATTTAGAGAGGTAGAAACAAAGTTACAAAGTTACCAAATATTCAAAGTTACCCAAACCTTTTCTTATTTTTCTTAGCTCTGACTTTTGAGAATTTTTTTTTCAAATAATCAAAATTTTCAATTTTAATATTCAACTAACCAACTTTTCTCTATATTACTCTCTCAATCTTTTCAAAAATCAAACCAAACTCATCTTTCTTTTTCTCAAATGAAAATCAACACACAAAACCTCTTCCTCTTTCAACAAATCTAAAAACAACACAAAAAATCAGAGTATTAGTTTTCCAATGAAAGCGTGAATTTCCACCGATACAAAGGGGCAGAAAAGTGTTTTCGCGGTGAGAATTTCCAGATTCCAATGAGAGTATTAGTTTTCCAATGAAAGCGTGAATTTTTCGGCAAAGATAAAAATTTCCGGCAAGAGTTTTTAGATTCCAGTGAAGGTAAAAAAAGCTTGTTAATTCGGTTTCGAATCCCTCCTCCTTCTTCTCCTTGTTTCGTTTTCGTCTTACATGCTTAGTTTGCTGAAATGTTTGTATGGAGACGTTTTAATGTATACTAAGGGTTAGAAAATTAATTCAAGTCAAATGGATCGAAGTTAGAATCGTGAACGAAATCACTTTCTTTATAAATATTTCAAGCACTCTCTTTATTGTACACGAGAATATCCAAGATAATTCAGCCTTTGAATCGAGCCTGGACAAGACTGATAAAGAACTCGAATACAAGGAAGATTGTTTGGAATATCGAAAAGGATGTAAGATTTTGAGTGAATAATTTTCAAATTCAGAATTTTTGTATTTATAAGCCATGTGTTATACCTCAATTTTTGTCCCAAAAATTTCATGTCATCACATAGCATCATATTGCATTGAGATCTCACTGTCTTCAAGCTTCGTTCCGCACAATTAAGGTAGGGTCGGTTACGTGGTTCTCAAGACTCTTTGAGATAGGTTCATGTGTTTATTTTCATGTCTTATTCAATGAGTAATATCAAATCTTTATAAGTATGAATCAGAATTTCCCTATCTCAAGCTCAAGTGTTCCGTCAAGCAGTAGCAAAGTAGATAGTCAGGGTTTTCGGGATTCAAGTGCACCCTGCATATTTTTTTGAGCTTCACAATCAGTGAGTCATCAAGTCATCAGCCTACCAAGCTCTCATGTGTTCCATCGTGCTTCGAATTACAAGGAAAATTAAGCATTTCAGTTGATTTTGGATAGTTTGAACAGAAAATTAGTTTCATAGTGAAACTTCAAAAATTCATAATTTGAGATCAGAAAATGATTTGGGAATGATTCTCCAGTCTTCAGAGTTGTCTTGAGGTCTTCTCTATTTCATCTGTTCAGGGAGAAGGCTAGTTTTGCGATGAAGATTTTCTAAAGCGCTAAATACCTAAAATATGGTATATAGTGGATTTGTCAGTTTCCTGGTTTTCAGATGCTTAAAAATCTGTAACTTCTGACTGGAAGATTATCTTTGAGTGCCTCTTGGAGAATTTGAACCATCTTGTTATGTTCTTCAGTTTTCATGTTCGAATCAGAAGCTAATTCATTGAGAAAGATCTCCGAATGCGCGAATGCTCTGAAGATATACGGTGGAAATATAATGAAAATAGTGTGTTGAACCGCTGTTTTTCGGATGTTCAAAAATTCATAACTTTCGCCCGATTCGATTTTTTTGGATGGCTCTTTGGGAAAGAAATTTTGTCTTGATTTTATCTTCAAGCCATAAGTTCGGGCCAGGAGCTAATTCTTTGCAGAAGATTTGCAAAAGTGTCAATTACCAGAGAAAATTGCATGCCAAAACTATTTTGTACCAGACTGTTTATCGATATTGTAAAAATCGTAACTCTCTCGACTTTTATCGTATCGGGACAATTCTTGAAGTGTGAGATCACAAATTTTATAAGCTTAAACTTTTCTTTAGAGCTTGAGTTTGGATTATGTTTTGAAGGCTCTGATTTGTGGCTTGCTTCTTTAAGTGCGCACGAAAATAAGCTGAAATTTACAAGACGTTGAAATAAGTCCATTGTTTCTTGCCATTCGAAAAATCATAATTTGCTCGATTTTTATCGTATCATGGTGATTCTTTCTGCACGACGTCACAAATTTCGTTGCCGGCATTTTCGCTTCAGGGATCGCATCGAGATTCTCCACCAAAAGGCATGAGGTTGTGGTTTATGTGTGCGTCGTACATAAAATAAGCTGTAAAATTCAGCACTGTGAATTTTTACACTTTGTTTCTCGTCGTTCAGGGAAACGTTACTTGCTTATTTTTTATCGTATCGAGACGATTATTTCGGTGCCACGTTACAAATTTCTTCGTCGACATTTTTGTTTCAAATTACGCATCAAGATTTCGCACTGATTGTGATGAGCTTGGGGTTCGATCTCGCACTATACACGAAATAAGTTGAAAATTCAAGTTTTGGAGCCAAACTATATATTTCAAATTTCAAATTTTTAAAGAAAATTACACTCACAATTTCACATTTCACCAAATCAAAAATCAAAAACTCTTTCTCTTTTCTCTCAACTTCCTCTCCAAATTCATCAAGAACCTTCACAACAAAATTCAACAACTCACAACAACTCCTTCAATCTTGATCTTCCACTCCGATTCTGCAAGCTCTATCACCGGGTGTCTCCGGTTGGCGCACTCCCTTCGCCGTTTCCTCCAACTCTGGCATGATTTTGGTCGGTTTCTCCTCAGTCCGCCACCACAAACAGTCGCAAATCCTCACTTCCTCCGGCGCATTGATTTTCCGGCGGATCTCCTCCTCTCCGATCATTTTCTGGCATCTTGATCTTCTTCAATTTCACTTTCCGATAAATTCTTGAATCCTATTTGATTTAGTTGATTACTTGCATATTTTATTGTTGAGAATTGAGTTGAATTGAATTTAATTGACATAAGCATGAAATTGAATTGAATTCTAGAAATTGTTGAGATCTTGATTTTTGAATTTATGTTGATGATGATGAATAGGTGTGGAATTGGATTAAAAAAAATTGAATAGGTGATAAGTATGTGGATTCGATAATTCTTGCGCGTCGAATAATTTGTGTTGTTGATTTTCAATTGAATTTGCGCGTTGATTTTCTTTTCGATCGAATTTTGTCGAAAATAATGTCGAATTCATGAGTTTATATAGTTTTTTAGTTGAATTAAATGGTGATTCATATTTTTGTGACATTAAAACCTTTGATTCAATTAATTGTGTCAACTTATGAATTATGTTGTTTATGATCGGAAACTTGTGTTTTGATGTGAATTGATCATTTTTAACTTGTTTACAATTTCTTAACAATAGTACTTGAACTGATAAGCATGTTTTCGCGTCCTTTTGTAATTGTTGAAATCAGTTTTGATCAAATTTGATTCAAGTACGTATTGCTGCTCAGAAAGTGTAAATATGTTGTAAAATGCTTTCTAAAATTTGTCTGATGCTTACTTGAGCATAATTGCGCGTTTATGGACTATTACGGTTGAATTTAATCAGTTTCGATACAATTTTCTGAGCAACTTTGTGATACGGTGTAGTTATGTCTGGATTTTGAAACACACTTGGTTTGATATTTTAATTCGCGCTTAATGCGTATTTGGCTTTAATTAGTTGATTGAGAAGCATTGATATCGTTTCAGTTGAATTTTGAGACAACTTTTCGTGCACTTTGTAATTGGAAACAACGGAGTCCATATTTCATTTTAACATGTACGTTGTGTTTTGATATTCATTTGATGCATGTTTATGTTTAATTGTGCAATTGTTGATGATTGTTATTGAGTTTGTACGATTCCGGTGTATTTTTCCGAATAATTTCATGAGATGTGTATAGTGCTGCCCAGTTTTATAAATTGAGCTTCAAATGTACTTTAATTGTTGGTTTATGCACTATTATGTTTGCCTTGCATTGAGTTGTGTCGATTTCGGGTCAAATTTTCGTTTGTTTCATGTGTTAACGGAGTTTCTTCCCAGAAGTGGTAAGTAGTGCTTACGAGGTGATTTAATTTACGGTTATGGTTTATTTGAGTTTTTGAAAAGTTTGGTGGCTACCGGTACCGTTTTCAGTCATTTTTATTTCGACTTTTCGCTCACTCGTGTATGTGATAAGTTGCTGCCCGGAGTTTCATTTTGACGTTGCAATGCATGTTTGCATATCATTTCTTCATGATTTAATTCTAAATTGCATTGTGATGAGAATGCATAACTCTGATTATGTTTCCTTGTTATTTCTAACATGTTTGTTGACTTGTGCAAGGAACTTTGAGAGCGCTTTTAATCAATTACCTAATTTTTGGTTATTCGACTAAAGCATGTTATGACACTTTATTTGTGTATTTGTGGATTCACTTTCGATGTGATTTACTTTGATTCTCATTACTTGAGATATATGCATTATTTGTGTTTTTGTGTGGATATTAAATTTTTGTGCAGGTGTTCTATTTATTGCAGATGTGTCAGACACACGTGCTCATAGTGCTTTATTGATGCTTTGACGCATATTTTTTACTTTTGTGTTTTTGATTCTAGCTTGCGTGAAGTTTTCCGGAGTTATTCTACTTTTGCTTGCTTGCTACAAACTCTTGTTCATTTGGTATTGTACTGATTCTGGTTTTTGTTTCCACATCCTTTATCGCTTTCCTTGTCATGATAAGTAGGAATGGAGATGCATGACTTGGAGGCCCTACTTTAGGTGGGTAATCTGTTTAAAATTCTCAAGTGAGACGATGTTTGTTCTGTTAAAGTCCTCGAAATGAGGCGATGTTTTTGTCTGCAAAAGACTCCAAAAGGAGCAATTTCGTGTTGTTTGTTTAAAGACCTCAAAATAGACATTGTTTCTAAAGTCCTCGAAGAAGTCATTTCCCCTCCCCTTTTATCATTGTGCTTGCTATCGAGTCAATAAGTTGAACAAAGGGTCCGCAATCAACCCTCCACATTCTAGTCGGTGTCGTTCCTAGCTCACATTGTACGTTGATGCTTTGAACCGTGCTTACTCTTGTCCATTTAGTCAAATAAAGTGGAATACAGAGGTCTGTAACCAACCCCCTACGCTTTGTCATTCATTCCGACGATGTTAGCTCACGTCGCTCGATGTTGATGCTCCGAGTTATTACTCGATGTCGGTGCTCGAGCAAATCAAGTATAAATAGTTCCTTACTCCCTCTATGAGATCCATTTGGCTTGTCATTGTTTGTCCATATCTTGTGCTTGTGCTTTTCATTAGCATGTAACCTTCGTATGCTCCCTTGGGATTTGCTTGTTTCGTTTTCGATGCAAGTTAGACATTAGGTTTGTTATCCATGCATGCTAACATAGGTAGAGATTTCCCTTTGTTATTCAAACTTTAGGACTATCATTGTATGATAACACTAGGGATAGAAATAGGTTAGTCCCCTTTAGATTTTTTCTCTTCCCCTTTTGCATAACTAAAATTAAAACTCTTTTTCTTTGTCAAATTCATAAACACTCTAACATTACTCAAATCCTTTTCCAAGGTAAAAAACACCAATCAATGCAAACCCTTTTGTCTTCGGACTTTTTCTTTTAAAACCTTTTCAAAAAGGACGTGCTTCGATAGCATCGTTCATAAAAAAACACACAACAAACCAACATTATTTAGATGAACTAAAAGTTTCTTGATCTCTCATTGCACGAAGAGCGTACGTAGGCACAAAGGTTTGCAACCGCGGTAGGCACGACTAATAAAACCTTTTTCTTTGTATATACACTCTGCATACATGTATTTTTCCCTTAGCTTGTTAGAATTTAGATAGAAACACCCTTTAGATTAGAACAACATGAGCGAA